ACACAGCTTTACAGCACCACTCAGTTCTCTCTGATAACGTTTAGTCTCCCATAGTGAAATTACATAAATTTCAGTGGAAAAAAATAAAACTGAAAAGGGCATAAATATTTTATACAAAAATCCTACTTCAGTTTAGAACTCTGAGTAGTGTATCCCTATGCTTTCAGATTAATAATGCAGCAGCATAGGTCGCATACTGCTTGTATTTATGTGCACCCAAAAAACTCTCTATGGCTTTATTACTATGAAAAAACTAAACCGAGAAGACATAGCAGATTAGGTGTTGAAAACCTAAACAGTTGATTTTCAATATTTTAACTTTTGTATTTCAGAACACTCATTATATGGTGTGTACCCATACACACAGGCACACAAAATAATTCTGAATTTTCATGACAATATTCTGAGAGATTTTAGGACATTTTAGCTTTCTACAGATAAAATTAACACGTAGGTTTAATGAATATACTATACACAAGGTCTTTTGTTCTTAATTTGCATCAGATGAGAAAAAAAGATAGTAGCATCTATAAATACTGATGAAAATAGATATAGATGAAGTCAACAGTAATTTCCTGGCACAAAATATGACTAAAAGTCAATGTCATTTTAAAGATAAACAAGCATTTTTCATACCAATAAATAATGCTATAAATCCTGCCGTACCGGATTGCAAATAACTTCAGCTGAATAAAACTGCATGACATGGGATTTACTTATCCTGTATGTTCACAGAAACAACTTGTTCTCTGACAGCACTCATTCTTGGCAATTTATTGCAGCTGTCAGCAGCCAATTTGTTCAGATTACTGCTATGCATAAAGGTGTAACAATCACGAGGATTTATTAGCTGATTATCGTAAAGGTGACAGCCAGGATCGCCTTCAAAAACGCAGATGATAAGGAAGTTAAATAATTACATGAAGATTAAAATCATTTCACCTTCATTTTGATAGTAGTATTAGGTACACAAACTTACTGCAGTATATGTTTTTAATCACAGGAGTATATTGACTCAATACGGAAGAGAAATGATTTACTCATAGAAAAAACATGGGAATATTAAATGTGCTCAAACTGAACCATATACACGCACATACGTATGTATTTCTCCTTATCAGATGAAGTAATGACTCATGCTGCTCATGCAAGTCCACATGCTTATTTGAACGCAAGAAGGAAGCCTCTGTGGCTTTAACTGCTGGTGCTTTCCAGAAAAAGAACTTCTAGACCTCAAGTCTTTGGACCTGGAATGTCTTTGTTTTAGAAATGACATTCAGAACAATGCCAGAATTTAACCTCCTGCATGATGAAACTCAGTTCTGGGCAAGCTCAGTGCTTCCTCACACAAATCAGCATAGGACTGGAAATAGATTTTCCTTGAAGCTTTTGTATGAGGTCTTTTTCAAGGCTTTTGAAATCCAAAAAAAACTCCAATGAAATGGTTCCAGGATTTCAGGTTTTTAGGGTATTCTAAGACTAAAGTTCACTAGGCACCTTGTGACATCCTGTAAACTGTCATGGAGAATGCACACAACTGAGACTCAAATGAATTTCACAAACAAAGTTAAGAATGGAAATCAATCAGTCAGCATCTCATTTCAAGAACTGCCATGCTGAACAAGCCTGGCTACCAAGATAAAACTGGAGCTTTACGCGAGTTCTGTGACAGCCTTATCTTTCTTCTCCGAATTAGGATGCCATGCTTACTCTCACCCTCTTACTACCTTCCTCCCTCTTACAAGCCACCCTTTCCATTCCATCCTCCTCCTCTCATGCTGCCCCAAAGCCAGAATCTCACTTCCACCTCTTCAGCCTTCTCAAGCATCTTTCCTTCATCTTCCTGCCCTCGAAAAAGGACCACAAGTCCAAGCCCTCACAGTCTGAGCTCACACACCATCACCGCCATGTCACATTCCTAACTTCATCCTGGCCCTTAATATGCTGGAGCCTAATGAGCATGATGATACACGCAGATCCTACAGAAGTCCTGATTATCCACTTCTTTTATTTCACTGAAGTGTAGCTGAGACAGAGTAACATTCCAGGAGAAGTTACGACATTCTGCTTTGGAATAAAATTTCCAAGTTACAAAGTTTAGCACAGAAAGGATCTTTCAACTCAAGAGGGCTTCCTATGCTGTTTTCCAGGAGGGACCTGGGGTTTGTCCCTTCAACCTTCCACCCAGGGACACTGTTCTCCCACAGCCAGCTCCGTTGGGAACCACTGAACCAGTTTTAGGGACGGCACTTGTCAAAGAGATCCCCTGGCAAAGCAGCCCGATAACACCTATTCCGCACGGGAAATTCTGCTGACCTTCACGCGTGCTCTGCAAGCAAATGAATATGGAGGACACAGAAAAACAGCACTGTGGACGAGAGGTGAGAACTGCTCCTTAAGCAAACTTTTTCTTCTGTTTTTCCCTCAATGAGTAGGATCTCTTCAATCAAGCATGGCTTCTCCCTAACCATAATTTGGCCAGGAAGGACATCTTCAAGAAATAATTATTTTCATCTGCATTTAATAAAAATATTCCTGGATAATATAACAGCTGCTGCTTGCATATTATTCAAGAAAGTGGGAATATCACCCTAAGATGAAAGGGATTACTCTCCACCACTGAGTAAATGCTAGAATACTACCAGGAAGTCTTTTGTTTCCCTCCCACAGTCTCATTATCACTTTTCCTGGAACCTGAATCAAAATATTCAATTTATTACACGTGCTTTGAAAGCCACAGAGCCTTTACTCACGGAGCACGTCTCAGCCGTGCTTTACAAATTTAACATACATTTAGCATAACACACACATACACTGAGCAAGTCCGTACTGTCTGTACAAAGTATTTCCAGCTTTTAGACGCAGCCTGGAAAGGAGAAACTGGGGAAGAGAGGTCAATGTAAAGTGGAGCTGTCAGGTGTCGGTGATTTTTATCCACAGTGACTGGAAAAGACTGTCAGGGAGGGGGAATATTAAGACCCATTTCTGTATTCAGATTGAGCTTGACAAATGACAAAGTTTTTCATGGAAATCTTCATGGAGAGAAATTTGTTTGCAGGTTGCATTATCCAGAGATAAGGTACCAACAGAAGGTGAAATGAGAGAGTGTCTGAAAGGACAAACTGAGGAGGGGTTATACACACACAGACAGCAGAGAGGTCACAAAAATCAAGAGCAGCAAGATTTTGGGAAAAATAGCACTGATTTTGTTAAAATCAGCTATATACTGCAGAAGCACTACAGATTAGCTTTGTCCAAGGAGCATCTTTTTTGGTATATACAAGAATTACATCTATTTAGGAAAACAAAACTAGATTCTCCCACTGGAAAATGCTAAAGGCTTCAAACATTCTTCTTAGAAGATTTTTCATGCTATCAAAGTTTTTTGGCCTAAAAGAAATGTAGAAATCATTTTTTACTTGCATGATAGCATGCAGTTACTAAAAAGAAATATATGCACATATAAGACATACAAAATTTTAGGTACCTGAAAAGTGACCTAAGCAGCTCATGTGTTTGAAGTTATAAATTTTCCTTCTCTCATTTCTGTATTCATATTCTTATTTCAGTTTCAAGTGCCTTGGAGTAAAAATGGTGTCTTTTATTTCATGCAATGCTCTTAAAAACACTTTATAATCACTGGTAACAGTAACAACATGAGTGCTGCTTGGAGGACAGTGTTCTGAAAAATCACACATGAAAACTCTGAATCCCTCCATCTTTTGTAGAAGAATGTTAAAGTTAAGCAGAATATAGGAATGATTTCCCAAGGCATATGAAGAGTTGCCATAGGAGTAAATGATTACGTTACTTCAGAAAAATAGTTATTGTTACCATATGTGTTGACTGAAATCAGGCAAGGGAAAAAACAAAACCAATGTAAACTTCAAATATAAACATATCACCCCATCCATAAGGTTTCATCACATAAAATAAAATCCTACTGTGTATACTTTAGAAAAGTGGTTTTGCTTGGTATTGAAGCTGTTTGCTTGCCATAGACTCTGCATGTATTCTGAGTTCCCACAATTTATGGTAGGAAATAAACACAGAATATTGTCCGACTGATCTGATTTGACAAAGAAAGCCACTACCCTAAACGGAACGAGAGGGAGGAAAAGGTCACACTGACAGCAAAAGTGCATGGCTCAGTCTGTGGGATTTCTATTCCTGATTTTAACTACCAAAAAAAGTAATTCTACTAGTTAATAGTATCCATGTCCTGGTGAAAGCATGTACAACCAGTATTCTAACAAACTATAAAAATATATAGCACTAATAATTATTATGACTGTATGGACATCAATTAAAGTATGATTGTAAAAAATATCTCAGCTTTCAAAATAGCACCGACGTTGTACAATATCTATAAGCACAAGACAGTTTTTCCCCCTATCAGCTAACAGTTAATGCCATTGTTAAAAAATATTAGCCTCTTTCCTCTTCCTACACAGTAAAATGGAGCATAACTACACAAATTTATACCATTTCTTGAACTCTAAGACAGATCCCAGATTCACTTTTGCTGAAAATGAACTAGGTGAATGATCTTCTTTGCCCCCAAAGCTGTGTGTAGTCCTTCAAAACTCTCATTTCATTCACCAAACAGATTAAAAAGTAAGTATATAATTTTGGTCTTATGTGCCTATTACAAGTCACAAGAGTTGTTTCTCCTCCTAGCTGGACGTTGTCATATGGAACCTCCTGCATCTTGATTATTGCTCCAAACGTGGGATTTTTATTTAGGAAAACTTAACTCTATCAATTGGTAAAAGCTGCCACCTACTGGTCAGTAAAAAGTATTTTACACCATTAAACTAAAGAATCACATCCATGCAGCAAACTGTACTGAGATTTTGTAAAAAATCCTCCCCCACCTTAAAAAAAAAAAAAAAGAAAAAGCAAGAACAAATGGTCATAAGAAATAGCTTCAATGGCAAGGCTCATTTTAATCATCTGCTCTCATCCCCAGGGAACAAAAAGGCTGTAATTGCACAAACCTGCCAATAAAATCATCCCTTTTGCCAGCATCTTTGTCCCACACGGTAATATCAATAATTCCACCTCGTTCTTCATAGAGATGAAAGTCAAACTGCTCCCTCCACTGAGGATTCAAAGTTTTTGGCACAATCTGAAAGGAGAGCAAAAAGAAAGTCATATTGCATACGCTTTCCTGAATTGTAAATTTGTAAATTTAAAATTTGATCTTTACAGTTTGCTCAGGAAGTTTTTTTCTATTTGTAGTACGAGTCTTAAGCAGTGATAATCAAAAAAATAGTAATTAGAAGAGACTACTGGCCACTTCGGTCATGCCTCTCTGATACAACAGCAACCTCCAAAATCCTGCAGCCTGTCACCTTCAAAAGTCTCCTGAACAAAGGATTTACCCTGGGAATGGATCCATTTTTCTGCAGAATAATTATGTCCTCCTTTGAGTGACAGTTAGCTGCAAAGTTATGTGTCTGAGACTAAAGGAAAACAAAGCACCTGCAGTGACAAGTAGATGATGACTGTAAGTATTTAAACAGAAACAATTTAATCATGTCCTCTTTCCCCAGCTGCAGTAACACTGGCAGAAAAATGATACTACAGTTTATTTTTTATGGAATAATATTCCTTTTTTTCAAAACTGTATTTTACTTCCTTTTCTTTGCACTCAGATCAAAGCAGCTTTCTCAATCACCTTTCAGTCCAGTTACTTCTGACAAAAGAAGTAACTTCAATGGATTTCAGTCCGTGTACTTCTGACCATGCTCTGCAGAACAGAAAGCTTGGAGGTTTTTCTACCATAATGCAAAAGCAGCAGTCACAGTAGCCACACCTGTCCTGAGCAAGAATGGAAACTGCCTAGTTCCTCCCCTATGAAGCAATCGCTACTTTCTACATCCACTAGTCCCACTTTTTCCATTTGAAAAAAATGGAAAAATTAGAGGGGATTAACATGTAGAAATGCTAGGAAGATTTTTAAGTCACAAAAGCATAAAATTTCATTTCTTCTAATTTCTGATTAAGAGGCTCTAAGGTGAGCTCTGAGGTCTTGCAAACGTGGCACCTAAATGCTCCTGGCCTCTTCCTCACTCTGCAATTTTCAAACAAATAGGGATCAGGGAAATAAAAAATAATAGCAAAAAGTTAAGCAAGTCTCCATAATAATTTTCTCCTTGATCAATCCTCTCTACCTGTTAAGCTCATACATATACAAAACTTTAACGAAGCTTTCTGTAAGGACACAATGAGGAAAGTGAAAATACAAGCATGACACCGTTCGAGGATAAGACCATGAAAAGGATGCAAGAGATGACCGGCATCAGGCCAGAAAGTCACAGAGGTGGTACCTACTTGCCAGAATCACTCCACACCTCTCCCCTGCCACGACTGACAATACAGCAAAAGCTAACACCGTCAGTATGGAAAATCAGGTATGCCTCCCCACCACCCCACGTGTTTCAGTGCTACATTCTTCCCCATCTAGCATTATTTTTGTTTATAATGAAATAAAAATAAACATCTAAACAAAGCTTCAGGTGCTCTGACAGCTAATTAATAAAACCATAAATCTCCATCACTATTTGAATAGTCATGCAAGCCAAAAAAAAACCACAAAGAGGAACAAAACATTTCAAACACCGCCAATGCGCACCATAGGTCACAGATAAGATTACCTTGCTCTTGTACTTCTGATGCCCCAGACGGAACTTCACGTAAGGATCACTTAGTCCGTTTGCATCCATTGCCTTAAGCTCACGACCTTCTATTAGGGTCACACTAACTATCCCTCTCCATAGCTGAGATTTTCTGTGCAGGTCTGAGAGACGTAAGCTCTGGGTCTGAAACTTTAGGGAAATAAAAACATAGCTTTAGTTAAAACAACTCCAACATTTTCCCCCGCATTTTAATGTTCAATTTTATATGACTATGAATGTAAAACAACCACCTTAAGCCATTTTGAAGTTATTCGACAGTACATATGTAAACTACATTACAAAGAATTACTTGGAGAGAAACAAAACAATGACAAACACACAGTTAATGTCATATGCTGCTTTTGCAGAAGCAAGCAGAACAAATGTTACTTAAGGAAACGTTCAGAAAAAAAAAAAAAGGTGTTTTTTCCTGTTTCACTTACTTCTCCCTCTACTGAAAGAACTAATAACATTACAAATAAATGTTACAAAGTCTCTTATATTTGTAGCACCTGATTGAATGAATTTGAACACTAAAATAAACATAAAAAACAGTAAGAAAATGAAACTTCAATTAATATATACCAATCATGAGAAACATGGACCAAGGAAAAATAAGTCAATAAACTCCCGTGCACATGACAACTACCTGAACCCCTAAAATGATGTGGTATTCTCAGAAACAGCAAGGAAAACTGAATTAAAATACCAACACATCAGTGCACGAGTTTCCAGACGAGACGTTGCAGAGCCTCTGATCAGAACTGAGCGGAAATTTGTGGACCATGAACCCTCAGCTGCTGACTTTGGGGGTTAAAAGAAAATTCAGACACACCACACAAACCAGACGGCCACGGCATTCATCACTGAACTCTGCCGGGGTTGGAAGAGCAGAGGTTACAAATTTGAGGAATTGCAGATCAGCTCCAGCTTGCTCTGAGCTGTGCTGGGTACAAGGTGCTGCCAGAATTGGGAATTCACCTTCGCACGCCTGAGGCAGGCAAACGTGGCTCGGGTGCTGAGCAGAACAAGGCTGCTGAAGCCTTTGTTCTGAAATTGTATTTGTTCAAGGTTACCTCATCCAAAATCAGAATGCTAGATATCCAAACAATATTTAAACTCATAAATTATTCTTTCCAGGAATCAAAAAAAAAAGCAAGGCTGAATGTATAGTCAGCTGTACATGTATCAAATATATGCATTTTCCTTATTGTGTAGTATAGTCTGAGCAGCAAAGGCTTTATGGGCTCATCAGCCCCCCATACCTGGAGGGCTGCACGGCTGGCTTCATCACTTGCAGACCTCCAGTGTCTCTGTTACAGGTTTTCAGTGCACATCTGGTTTGAGTCTTCCAGAGGGTAAACACAGCTGGATGGTTACAGATATGCAAGTGCCCAGGGCAGGAATTCTACTTGATTAGCCAGAGAAGATTACAGAAAGTACACTGGCATATAATCACTGGATTATAATCTGCACTCACCAGACTCCAGAGAGAAGTGCTATACATGAGGACTGGGGCACTGGAGTTGGAGCAAATCTGAGTAACATGCTTTTGGCAGTATTTCAGACATCATATTGGCATATATTATTATTTTCTAATGGCTATTCATTCTGAGCAGTATGATATTCCCAAAATATTTCACTGTATTTATTAAAGATTTCTCTCCCTGAAGTGAAGGATTTGACTGTGGAGAAACTTCTCACATACTTATTGTTTCTCTAAAGGCAAACAGGGAACCATGGACTTCAGCTGAGAAGTGGAATAACCTTTAACTTAACCTGCCACATGAAGCCCCACTGAGACACCAGAAACTCTATAAAAATTATGGCACAAGTGGGAAACTCAGTTGCCAGAAAATATTTCATTTGCAACATCAGAACATTATTAAACTTCATAATTTTTTTTCTCAGCACAAATACCCCTTCGTTCAGGGTACAGAACCCCAGCCTGGTTTGGGTGGGCAGGGACCTCCCAGCCCACCCAGTGCCACCCCTGCCATGGGCAGGGACACCCGCCACTAGCCCAGCTTGCCCAAAGCCCCATCCAACCTGGCCTTGAACACTGCCAGGGAGCCAGGGGCAGCCACAGCTACTCTACAGTCAACACTACCAAAGACTTATCTTATGAAGAAGTGGTAGAATTTTTTTTTTCTTGTTCCAGTTTCTTAGAGAAAAGAAAAATTGAATAGTGTATAACTAAACCTGACTCTGCCCTGAACACAAGGTGATGAGAGATACAGAAAAAAGAAGAGACAAAGCAACTTAGGAAGATACTTCATACTGGGATAGAAGCATTGGTTAGTCGAGACTTATTTTGGCAAAGGATACACAGTTATTGGGGTTATTTTGAGAGCTGAGTGGGAATCCAAATAATTTCCAGGATACTATCATGGAAAATAAGCATGAGTTTGCTTTAAAACTCTTTTAAAGTAAAGCTTAAGCACAACTGCATAGCTCTCCACTTCACTTATCACAAATGAGACAATGAATCATTTAGAGAATATACTTGACCTAAATTGAGTATTTTCAATGGCTCTTAAAATAATTTGCTGCATTAGAGCAGCTCCCACCATACAAAACATGCTGATTTTGTATGACTTGTAGGGAGTTTCATCAACAGATGTAATTTACATATGAGGTGGCAAGGCAAGATCTAAACAACCATGCGTAGAGCTTAAATTCACAGATGGGTCAGACAGGAGTTTACAAGAGTCAGGTAGAAACCCTGAGAACAAGCAGGTTTTGCTGGGAAAAGCCCTTTTGGCTTCCTCAGAGCCAGATCTCACAGTCTACAACACGCGAAGTGCCTTGCAGAGGCCAGTGGCATGGTGACCAACAGTGAAGCTGCAGAGTCTACATCTCAATCTGTGGAAGAAAAGCAGCCAGCTGCTAAAAGTAAAGTGGTGTGGGCTGGTTGAGGCTGTTTCTTCCTCGAGGTAGGGAATCGAGACCACAGCAGCACTTGCAGATCCATGGAAGCACAAAAGGGAGACATACCAAATGAGTCGGGGCACAGCTAGCTGGAGCTAAAGCTATTGAGATTTCCCGGACACAAAAGGCACGGGCTGTGTGGCCTTCTGCAGCAAGAACGACTTCCAACTGGTATTCTTGTTTCCGAGAGAGACTGAACAACATCTGAAGAGACATCTAGAAAATATGCTGTCCTAGACATCTAGAAAATATGTAGCCAAAGTCATCCTTATTATCAGAAATTACAGATACTGACATAAACTCTAATTTCATGTAGTCTTTCTTGTAGGAAGTGAAATAAATAAATACAAATGCTTAGATTTCAAGTCAAATTTGACAGAAACCTAATAGATGCAAATATATGAAAATAAGAGTGATTTCACATTTTAGAGTTCTTCCTTTATGAAGTTAATTTCACAGTGCAAGAGGTACATCATTTCTAGGCGCACTTTTAGGTATCTAATCAACTTTCTATAATCCAGCCCACAGTGAGTTAGTTACAAGGTCAGAAAGGAAACTGTGAAAGTAAATCAAAGAAATGAGCATGAATCATTCCAAATTTCTCCTATGAAGGAATATTTCTTAAGATTAATTCTTGGGTAACTTATTTCCCCGAGAAAGCAGGTGCTTTTGCATCCTGGCTTCACTCCTCTGCCACAAACAGACAAAGACATGAAGAAACTTCTCAGCTTTTAATTTTCCTGGGAAGAGGTGGGAAGTTACGTATTTCATAGTATTCCATCTGAAACTGTCCATACTGTCTATACAATGCCACAATTTGGAAAGAAGTAAGATCATGATCTCAGGTCACAACTAACCAGTTAACTAACATGGGATTATTATTCATATTCTTGTGCATTTATAAGCAGGCATGGAGACTTCCATCTGCCATGTTCTGAGCCAAAAACAAAAGGGAGGAAAAAAAGCTGCAGCCTGCATACTGTGAAGCTTTCCCTCTCTTTTCCCAAAAGGAAATTAAAACTAGACTTCCGAAAAGGAGTCTTTTACGTCAAAGCTACCTGTGAAAGAAAGCCTCACATCTATTCATATCCACACACTGCTTTAATGCTTCTATTATAAACAGTAAGCAAAACCAACATTTTAACTCACATGATAAAATTACCTTTTATTTGTGTTCCACCTATTCTGTCTAAATGCGGGGTAGCAGAAGGGCTAGGGATGCCAACAGCAGAAAACCTTCTGGCACAGAGACAGAACTGTCCCCTACTAGATACAGTTAGCCAAATACAATGGCAGAGCTGAGAGGTGGCAGTCACGTATTACTGGTTAACGTCATGGCGTGGCAAAGCAGCTAGGCTTAGCCAGAATCTCAGCACTATTCCCAGGTTCATCAATACCATGTTCTTGACAAGTGCATTAATTGCCTCAACTTTACTGTTACTTTCTTCAAAAGAAGAGAAGCCTTAGTAAGTACTATTGAAAAACCCGTAACTATTTATCTTTGGGTATGTATGTGACCTTTGAAAATCTAGCCCATAATGAGTTGGAGAAACCCCACAGACTGTTCTCTCCCCGCCTGACCCCACCTTTTCACTGGTCAGTCCCGATGCCCTGCAAAGCACCACCTCTCTCACTTGCATGTGCCCATGCGAACAGACTCTGCTTCCACTAAATATCCCCCTTGTTACACACACCACTAGGACACACTCCTCCTTCTCTGTGTCCTTCCTTGAACACAAACTCTGTTGGTCCAGAACGTCTTGGTTTCAGTTGGGATCGAGTTAACTTTCTTCCTAGCAGCGGGTACAGTGCGGTGTGTTGGACAGAGGATGAGACTAACACTGATAACACACTGATGTTTTAGTTGTTGCTAAGTAATGCTTATACTAAGTCAAGGACTTTTCAAGTCCCACGCTCTGCCAGTGAGGAGGTTCCAAAGGAGCTGGGAGGGGACATGGCTGGGACAGCTGACCCAGACTGGCCACAGGGATATTCCATACCACATGGTGTCGTGCTCCATATAGAACTGGGGGAGTTGGCTGGGGGCTGTTATTTGTGCTCGGGAATGGGCTGGGCATCAGGCAGCAGGTGGTGGGCAATTGTGCTGTGCATCACTAGTTTTTTTAATATTCTTTTATCATCATTATTACTGTTGTCATTATTATCATCATCATCATCATCTTCCTTTTCTGTGCTACGAAACTGTCTTTATCTCAACA